GCCCTTCCCCCAGGTGGCGCTGCCGGGCAAGCCAGGGCCTGCAAACTTACAAAACTGGGGGTTCAAGTAGTGGTGGGTCCTTCTTTATCATAATTCTTTTTGAATAAAAGTCAACCTTGCCCATTTTCAAGTAGTGAAATTTTTACTTTGGCAAGCAACAAAGTCATGCTTTCAAGAAATGTACAGTCCAATACAGGAGACAATGAGTAGACAATTACAATGCTGTCCGAAGGGTAACGGTAATCATGAGGAACTAAAGTACAACCTTGGACATCAGGGAAAACATCCCAATGAAGTTAAAAGTTGCATCTTGAAAGATAGGGTTTAGCCAAGTTAAGACAGGAGGAATGCTGGGGAGACTGAGAGACAGAGCATTTCAAATGACCGCTGCTTTGTTGGGGTTGTCTACGGGGTGGGTGGGGGTGTGTGAAATGGCCAGTAGGGAGCCTGGAAGGGCCCAACCTGCTCAACTTATCTTAAGTTTGCACTTCACCCTGAGGGCAGTGGAGAGGCACTGCAGCGCTTCAAAGGTGAAGGGAGCTGTAACCAGATGTGCACTTTTTACTTTGGCATTACTCCGGAGTCAGTGTCAAAACTGGGAACCAGGGACCACCTCAACTTGAACACCAGTTAGTCAAATCTCTGTCCTGAAAAGGGCTAGCCGTCTAGAGAAAAGCCAAGTCTACGGCATAACACACTGTTTGTGTTTCTCACAAACATAACAAAACTACTACCTCCAGCATGGGGAGGGGCTACAGGAAGGAGCATCTCTGAGACTACGGGTTAGGAGTCTCATGCCTGGAAAAAGGCTAAGAAGGGGATTCATTTCAGTCTCTGGAATGAGAATGCTTTATGGATAAATTCAGATCTGAAATTTGATCCTTATGTCATCCATATTAGAAATATTACTTGTAGTATTAAATTAAAAAATAATGACGCCGATGGAGGGTGAGGGGCCGGCCCCACCCGCTGATACTACTATTAGTACTAGTTCTACTCGGATTCAGTAATACTACCTCTGGGTTCAGTAATGCACAATTGTACGGTTGAGATATTTAAGTATTATATTAAAGTCATCGAGAGCATGAGAGATAATACAATAATACAGTCAGGCATGATACATGGCAACATTGCTCACCTCAGCCCAGCTTGGTGGTCCACGTGGAGAGAGGGGGA